GCCGTATATGTTCTCTGTATTCCCTCTATTTCAGCAATCTCTCCCGCTCTGAAGGGGGAAGTGAGTATTGAGCAGTACTCAAGATGTATTTGAAGGTTCTCGTAATTCATCCTATCAATTTTCCTGGCTGATGCAATACTTGCTTGGTTATGCTCCCTAAACGTTAGGTTGTCGGACATCATTATTCCCAAATCCTTGACATGCTGTTTTCCTACTATGGGCAGATTCGATTGTGTTTTGTACTCTGTGTTATGTTAAAGATCCTCATTTTTGCCGTATCTGAGTACCTGGAATTTATTACAGTTAAACATCATGCTATTTTCTGCTGCCCAATCGAAAACTTTATTAATATCTGTTTGTAGTTTATCAATGTCTTCAGCAGATGTAATTTTCATGCTGATTTTTGTATCTGCAAAGGATGACACGAAGCTGTGACTTGTGTTTTTGTCTATCTCTGATATGAGAATAAGGAACAGCAGTGGTGCAAGGACTGTACCTTGGGGTACAGAGCTTTTAACTGCGCTCGGACTCGATTTTACTTGATTGACTGTTACTCTTTGTGTTCTGGTCGACAGGAAATTGAGTATCCAGCTTCCTACTTTACCAGTTATACCCATTGACTTCATTTTGTGTGCAATCACTCCATGGTCACATTTGTCGAATGCCTTTGCAAAATCTGTGTATACGACATCTGCATTATGTTTTTCTTCTAATGTCTCAGTGATTTTGTCATAGTGGTCAAGTAGCTGTGAGAGGCATGATCTTCCTGCTCTAAATCCATGTTGCTGCTGCTGGTGACATTTTACAAGAGGAAATACCCAAATCTGTAACAGTGAAAGAGTTTACAATCCAAGAGACAGATCCAGGCTGTGGAACATTAATGATACTAGCACAGTAGATTACTGGATTCGTAGTGGACCCTCATGTCAGAATCATGATTAGCAACCCTTCAAACTCACACAGTGTATAAAACAGCTGGAGTTGAGAATATGAAGGCAAGGTATTTATTAAATAATGTGTTCAAACGTGACCTGCAGAATGGCGAGTATGTAAAACGTGAGTGGCTACTCTTCACCATCTCAAGGTCGTTTGTACTGCTTTGTATGTCACCTATTGTCCACAAAAGAATCTTCCTTTGCTATATTGGGGTTTAATGACCAGAAGCACAGCAATGTTATTGTGGAACATGAAAATGGAGAAGAACACCGAAAGTACATGACAGTATATTTGATAAGGCATAAAGAAATTAAATGTAGATTCTTTATTACTTGAGTAACATTGCTCAGAGCAGGAATATTGGCATGAAGTGTTGACATGTGTGGTTGCTGTAATTCGCTTTCTTGCCTCTAGAGGTTTGCCATTTCGTGGAGAAATCAGATTATTGGGTCAGCAAAAAATGGCATCTATTTAGGTATACTAGAGCGGCTGAGTGAATTTGACCCTTTCTTGGAAGAACATCTAAAAATGTATGGAGTTCCTGGAAAATGGAATCTGTTGTGTATCTGCAAATATTTGTGAGGATATTATTGAATTAATGGGACAACAGGGTTTTGTACTACAGTATTCTTGAAGTAGAGAGTCTTGAGGTATTATTCAATAAGTGTAGATTCTCGCACACAGATCAACTGACATTTACTGTCTGACGCATTAAAGGCTGTGAACTTGTGGAACGTTTCTTGATGTTTATCCCCATCTTTTCTCATGGAGCAAAGGATCTAATAGACAGTCATGGATTTTCTTAAAAGGGCATTAGGTTCCAAAAATGCAATAAATGAAAACTCGTTCGATTTCAATCAAACTTTTTTGACAAGTTCTATATGAAAAGTGTTTCATCTGGTCCAAGTTTCAGCATCGTAGCATAAATAGGAAGGGAGAAAAAAAATATTGAAGTAGTTGTGAAAATTATGCCAAAATGGTCAAAATCGATTATCAATCAAAAGTGTCAACTGAAATCATAGCTATGACTCTTTGCTATCACAATAGCATATATTAAACAAATATAATTAGTTTAATTGGAAAAAAAATTTAAGAAAAAAAAATGTATTTTTTTTTTTCTTTTTTTTCTTTTTTTTTTGGGCGATTTGCATCAAATTTACACACCTGATTGTACGTAAGCCTATCTGTAAGGATGCCAATTTTGGAGAAAATTGGTTGATGTCAACCTCAGCCACAGATTTTAGAACCTTAGACTTTATTCTTTTTTTTTTTTTTTCAATTGACACAAACGTTTACAAAACCGATTCATTTTTTATTCAATTTACATGAAACTTACACAGTATATGTGGAGGGCATGTCTCTACATTGGAGAGTTTTCATTTTTCTCTAAGTTCATTTATTGATTTTATAATAGCAATAAACATGCCATATTTGCATAATTTTTTGGGGAACTTTGAACATTTGTATTAGGAAAACTAAAGATGTTTTGGAAATTCTACAACATGCAATCCTTTATTATATGCTAATGTGTCAGAAAATTGTCACAGAACAATTATATCTGAAACGTGTGTTCTGAAGTGTAGACTTGAAAATGTGTAAAAAAACGTTGAAAAAAAAACAAAAAAACAATCTCCCTTTCTATTTACGCTGCAGTACGGAAACTTGGGACAATTTCAGCACTTTTCATATACAACTAGTCAAATAATATTGGTTGACATTGAACAACTTTTCAAACACCAACCTAATGCCCCCTTAATGAGAACAAAATTCCACTATCAAACTGCCGTGGTCATATAATAATGTCTCATACAGTATGTCTGGACAATGTACTGGATTGCAAGCTCGGATTCATCAACTCGGTGAGTATGCCATCTGTGTTGGACACAGCCTAAACTTGGTGGGAGTAAACTAAAAGCAGCAGTGTTTTGTCTAACGACTGCCAAATTCTTTGACTTTGTTCAGCATCTGTATTCATTTTTTGCTAGTTCTCATCGCTGGAATGTATTGACATCATCTGTAGGAAAAGATTTTGTGATCAAGCGTCTGTCTGACACACGATGGTCAACACATTTTGATGCTGTTCATGCTCGGTATGCGGGTCAAGAGAAAATAAATCATGCACTGGATTCTCTTCTGGCTGACAAAGAACAGCAAGTGAATACAAGGCGAGAGCCAGAAGGATGGAGCAAAAAAGTGGAAAACCTGGAAGCAATCTTTTTCACAATTCTTTGGAATGACATGCTAGAAAGAATGAACAAAACAAACAAACAAACAAGGTCCTGCAATCAAAGGATGTGAACGTCCTTGTTGCCACAAATCTAATTGAGTCTATGAAAACCTATCTTCAGGAAACTTCAGGAGACAAATTTAGTGAATATGAATTTAAAGCCAGGAGTATGTGTCCAGATACAGATTACAGTAACGGAAAAAATGTGAACAAAAACAGTGTGCTTCTTAGTAGATATGATTTACTGTTTAATTTACTGTTTTAATGACAAGTATCTCTTCTGATCAGCAGAAGAGATACTTGTCATTAAAACAGTAAATTCAAGGTGGAAACTTTCCTCGCTATTCTGGATCTTAATCTTTGAACTGACAAAACATGCAGAGGCTTATTCACAGATTGGAAATCTGTTTCCTTTCTACAGTGAATTGAAAACCATTACTTCAGATGCACCAAAGAAAAAGTGTGAACATCTGGCTAATATGTATTGCAAAAACCTGAATTATGATGACCTTTTAAATGAATGTGTGAGCATCTCGCATTCCCGGTCGGTCGTTCCCATTCACATAGGGAGCTGGTCGGCCGAGCGGGCAGCACGCTGGACTTGTGATCCTGTGGTCCTGGGCTCGATTCCAGGCGCCGGCGAGAAACAATGGACAGAGTTTCTTTCACCCTATGCCCCCCTGTTACCTAGCAGTAAATAGGTACCTGGGTGTTAGTCAGCTGTCACGGGCTGCTTCCTGGGGGTGGAGGTCTGGTAGAGGACCGGGCTGCGGGGACACTAAAAATCCCCGAAATCATCTCGAGATAACCTCAAGATATCTCGAGCACTACATGGCTCTTGATGAAAATTGTGAGATTCTCCCTGGACTGTACAGAAAAATCATTTTGGACAATTTGAAATCTGTATTCCCGAATGTTGATATTGCACTCAGAGTATTCATGTGCATGATGGTGACCAACTGTACAGGAGAACGATCTTTTTCAAGACTGAAACTTGTAAAAAACCTGCCTCGTAGCACAATGGGGCAGCATCGATTGAACTGCCTTTCACTCGTGTGCATGGAAGATGACATCCTGAACACAATTGTCTTCTAGCCAATAATAAAGCAATTCTTTGAAAAGAAATGCAGCAAATGCTTGTTATAAGAAGTTCGTAGTAATTTCATAGTTTGCCATCTAATGTGTAGCTTACCGAGTATTATTGTGTTTTCAAGCCTTGTATGTTGTTCAAATGTTTATCATGTTGAATAGTTGCTGCTATAAAGCATGGTTTTTATTCTTTTAACACCAGTTTTGTTGAAGTGCCAATAAAATAAATGTTTAATATTATCGACCATTTACATTTTATTCCTGTGAATGGTTGTCGATGGGGCCCCAGCACACTGGTTTGCCCAGGGGCCCATAATGCTGTTAAGACAGCCCTGGTGGTGGTGTCCAGACATTTGTCTGCGACTGGGTTGAACCGGTCGTTTTACTACACATGTAGAGTGGGTGAATAATGAAGGTAAGATGGAAGAGACAGTTTCCTCTGCTATGTTTGGGAATTATGTGACACCAGCAATATAGATGATGCTACATAGTTTTCTCAGCTTCGTGCCTTCTTTTTTATAATTACTTTGAGTTTGGAAGGCACAACCCAAAATTTTAAGAGATGCCCACCCACACTCGGGTGTCAGTAGTGGCACACTTGAGCTCGTCATGGTTCAGTCGGTAGAACTTGTGCCAGAGGAGTCCAGGGATGCAGGTTCTGTACCATCATTTAGCCTCAGTATTTTCTAATACAGTCCCGTATTTTGTTGTGTTTCCTTCCCATCAAATATTTATTGTTTATTTCCAGAACCCTTAATGCCTGGCTACATGGGATCACGAGAAGCTGCTGATTCTGCTCAACATTTTTGTGGGATGTAAGGGGCATCTTTGCTAAGTATGATGGAGTCAGCATTTCCTTGACATTAGTCAAAGTACTGGTGGAATTGGAGGATGCCTCACAAGACAGTGGGGGATTTTGACACAGGTTAACTACTCGAGTCATTTATTAGTAGGTGAAAAGACTATTGTTTTGTGTGTGGATCCCCTTAGGGTTGAAACTCCCCTTGGTGCCATGTAATTTATGAAAGTGAAATCCTTCATGAATCATCATGAGATTAAGCCAAGTACAATAAAAATTAAGTTTACACAGATGTAAGAATTCACTGTACATAGCATTTTCAGAGATATTTGAATGAAGGAATGACTTTTGCTATTCACCTTTAGTATTATAAGTACATTACAGTACACTATATTAATTTTTACATCATTAACTTATTTAATGTCCAGTAATTTCATAGTGCAATGCATTTTATTTATTGACTGCACTTCAAGCTGTTTCATAATAAATTATCAGTAAATCTATTTCATATGAACTAATTATTTTTCTTCTGAAGTCTAGCTGAACCCTTTCTTCTGTTCAATTTTCCCATGTTCGGTGATTTCAGATCATTCAAAAGAGGCCTGAAATCATCATGCTACTGTGAAAGACATGTATATGTATTATTTTATTTCATCCTTGTTCTTTTCTGCAATGGAGATTACTGACTTTGAGGAGGAATTAGCTTATACTTCTCAAATACAGCCAAAGTGTATGCCATAATTTTTTAACTAAATGGGGTAATGCAATAACACTTCGTTAACTAGTACAGAATTTATACAGTTGAACCTCGTTTAACGTCAGGGTTTATGTTCCTGAAAACTGTGACATTAACTGAAACAATGTTAAGTGAAACCAAAAATTTCTAACTTAATTTTATTACAATATTGTATTCCTCTATTTCTTTGGACTTTCATTAGGATTGCAGTACTACCTATTATCGGCCATTTACCCATCATGTCCTCTTGATCAAGGAAAGTTTTTACTAATAATATTAGCTTGGTACTCGCACACATTGTTTATGTCCATGATCAGCTGGTGAGAGGCACTTGTTTCTGCAGCAGCTAATTCACATGATAATTTGCTAACATAGCCATATGCTTGTTTTACAATTTTTTTTTCTGGTACTGAATTTTTTTATTATTTTCAGTAAAGAAAAAGTTTTGTTTATATAAAGAGTGTCCGTAGACAATATTTAAGCTTGCCCTCGTATTGGGTACTTTTTCTATAAATACCATAGGTTTCCACATTGTTTTCTCTATCTTACATTGGGAAACATAAAAAAAACAGTACTGTTTGCCTGTCTGATGCCATAGAAGGTTTAAAAATATCTATTTATTTATTTTTCTCCAAAGTAAAAATTAAATGACTTTAACTGGGGCGACGTTAAGCAAGGTTCACCCGTATTTCTCTTATAGTCTACAGGGATTTAGGAGGCACAAATTGGCCACTTTTTTTTTGCTTCCAAACTTTCCATGCAAATTAAGATGTATTTTTGTATATTTTAATAATGTATTCGACATTTAAATTATTTGAGTTCGTTTGCTCTTTTTGTGGAGAGCTGCATAACTAGCCTGACCCCCTGTACATAACTGGCATCCATTTCAGGCAGCAGGTTGCAATCGTATATATGCTCTTCTTCAGCATTATAACCTTCCAGTATAGTTTTGATGCAAGTTCCAGCATTTTCACATACAAAAGGTCCTGTATGTGGGTGTGCTCATGTTAACATTACTCCGTATTTTACTGCCCATACGTGAGGAGTTTAAACTGTTTTATTTCTGATCACTTACTTTACCAGTCTTGTGTAAACCTATTTATTGGTTGGTATAAAACAAGCTAGTTGAGAATAAAATAGCAACTCTTAATATTAACATAGCACATTGAATACATCCTAAGAATGTTTACATTAGTGCTCTTTAATTTTTGGGACGTGGAACATTGGAGTAGTAAATGACAACTAAGTTAATAGTCTTTTTACGTCATTTCTAAAACAAAATGTACCGAATTTAAAAAACACTACATTAGTATCAGACCAAAAATGGATGGTACTGCATATGCAATAATTATTATGCATAGGAGAGTGAGTGCCACAAATAGCGAGGGCTTGCAGTGTGTGCAATTACTAAATGACAACTATGTAGAGGAACAGTCTATTTCTTACAGGCCAAGAGTTATCCGTATTGTTCCGTCTTCCCTGTGATCACTTTCATGTGATGCTTTACGGCTTCAGGTGGAGTTGGCATTAATTACCCTCTCTTGTAATTTATTCCATCCATCTAACACTTCACTAAAGAGAGAGTTTTCGTACAATTTTTAATCGCCTTTGTTTCCTAAGCTTGATTTTAGGGCCTCAGATTATTGAAGTAACAAGTTTTGAAAAATTCTTCCTCATTAATATTGTCAATTCCTGTCACAATTTTGTGTGGTTAATTATAGTGATTTTTATTGTAGTTTTTGTTTTGGCATGTTTAACACCTAATACAACTTCTGTATACTTGAGAGATGGACACCACTCAACTACTGCATTTTCTAATTTGTGTGTGGAGTGAGTGGGTGTTTGCTTATGTGACTACAGAGAAGCGAGGTCAGGCTCTTTATTCCCCTCCTGTTAGCTTGTTATACCTGTTCATTATAGCTTAACTATACAGATACTAGCGTTCAAATTCTTTATTGAATCTGTCCTTAAAGTTGTGGATGGAGGTAGCTTCCACAACTTCTTTCCTCGGTGCATTCCACTTGTTGACCACCCAAACAGGGTATGAATTACCGCACAGGAGCGTGCGGTAATTCTAAAAAAGTGTGTAATCTTTTCAATTTTGTCACCTCAATTCTCATCCAAGGTTTTTCAATTTGGTATCGTTGTGTTCGCAATAGAATTCTCTACAGGACTAAAGGCATATAAAGTCCAAAAGCCCGGCATACCATCCACAACAAACAGAGAAAGTGAGTGCGTGTTACCCGGGAGCGCGCAAGAGCGACAAAATGTGTACACTCTTTTCTCTCGTCACCTCAATTCCCGTCCTAGGGCTTTCATTTTGGTATCATTGTGTTTGCAATAGAATTCTCAACACGAGTATATGCATATAAAGTAAAAAACCGCAGCACGCTCCACCAGTCGACAAGATAAGTGTCCCAGAAAGAGAGCACTGCGCCACCCCAAGGCGCCTCTCTTTACGTTAGAGAGCGCGGTAATACTGAAAAGTGTATTCTCTTTTCCACTTGTCATCTTATTTCTCGTCCTAGGTCTTTCATTTTGGTAACATTGTTTTCGCAATAGAATTCCCTACAGGAGTATATGTAAATATAAAATCCAAAAGCCAGGTGTACCACCCACAGCAAACAGAAAGTGACAGAGCGTAATCCCAGTGAGCGCTAATAAAATGGCTATACTGTTTTCAACTTTGTTTCCTCAATTCTGGTCCTAGGTCTTTCATTTTGGTATCAATGTATTTACAATAAAATTCCCTACAGGAGTATATGCATATAATGTCCAAAACCGCGGCACGCCTCTCCTGAAGCCGCCGCCACCGAATCAATGCTGCGTCGTTACCGGTAATGCGTCTACTAAAAAAAAACGACGCAATGCTGAGTTGTTACCAAGCGAAAGTGTTAAGCTTGTGGGGTTTGAGCTTCAACTCTTTAGTCCCACCTCTCGACCATCAGTCAAATAGTGTACAACTTCCCAAGTCTATTGGGCTCTATAATATCTATTTTAAGCTGTGTATGGAGTTTGTATCCACCATATCAATCCTAATGCATTCCAATTGTTAACTACTCTTGACACTGAAAAAAAAAACTTTCTAATGTCTCTGTGGCTCATTTTGGTACTTGGTTTTCACCTGTACCCTTGCGTAAGTTCCACCTGTGTTAAATAATCTTTTTCTACCCTATCAATTATCCTGAAAATTTTGTATGTGATGATCATGTTTCCTCTAACTTCTGTCTCTACCAGCAACATGAGGTTTACTCCAGTAATCTTTCCTCGTAGCTCATACCCCTCAGCTTGGATACTAGTCTGGAGGCATACCTTTGAACCTTTTTCAACTTAGTCTTGTGCTTGACTAGATACAAGCTCCATGGTGTTGCATACTCCAGGATTGGTCTGACATATGTCATATACATAGTTCTAAATTACTGTATTCATTACACAAGTTTCTAAAAGATAGTTCTTATGTTGGCCTGTCTAGCATATGCTGCTGATAATATCCTTTTGATGTGGGCTTTAGGAGACAGATCCAGCATATCAACTCCAAAATCTTTCTCCCTTCCTGTTTCTTGAAGGCTTCCATCTTCCAAATAGTACCTTGCATCTGGTGTCCTGCTTTCTACAACTATCTTCATTACATTGCATGAATTAAACTCTCTTGGCCATTTGTTGGACCATTTCTTAAGTTTGTCCAGGACATTTTGTAGTATATTGCTGTCCTCTGTCTTAAGCCTTCTCATAATTTTAGCATTGTCAGCAAACATTGAGAGAAATGACTCTATACCCTCTGAAGATCATTTACGTATATCAGAAACAGGATAGGTGCGAGTACAGAATCCTATGGGAATTCGCTGGTGACATCACATCATTCTGAGGCCTCACCCCTCACAGTAACTCTCTGCTTCCTGTTGCTTACGTTCTCCCTTATCCACTGGAGCACCTTACCTGTTACTCTTGCCTGTTTCTCCAACTTGTGCAAAAGCCTCTCATGGGGCATTGTGTCAAAGGCTTTCAGACAGTCCAGGAAAATGCAGTCTGCACACCCTTCTCTTTCTTGTTTAATTTTTGTCATCTGGTCATAGAATTCTATTAAACACCTGAGGCAAGATTTGCCATCCCTGAACCTATGTTGGTGGGTGTGTGTGCTAGCGAGAGCAAGAGAAGAGAAAATATCGATGCATAAAAGATACTTGCAAAAATAACTCAGGGCAGCCTCTTTAACTTCAGAGAAAATAAAGCAAGAGGACATTGATGTAAGCTGCAAAAACAATTGTCTTCAACTTGCATGGAAAGCCTAGCACCCTTTACCAGTGGTCAGCAAGTCGCTGAAAGAAGAGACCATTAAAGACCTTTCATCTTAAATTTAAAAAAGGATAACTCACAGAAATTGAAAGTCGTGATATATCTAATGTATTGCAGATACAAATGGCTTGGAAGTGAGGTATAAATAGCTTGATTACAGTCCTAGTCACTGATGGGTTAGCAATAGCAAAGTGGGACTTGCACTTGGCCATGATATACCTACACACAGTGTCAGTTGGACTGGGCCAAGCAACTGTGTTGTAACATTTCTAATACCTGTACAGTGTATGTGCAATAAATAATTTATACAAACGTAACTGTATTTTTTAGTAATGTTTACTACCAAAGACATAAGAATACTGTTCAAAATTGTGAACACACGTGATCAGTGAGTATTAACGTTGCAGAGCCCATCATGTGGATTTTGTATTATTTTGAGGGTTATATAAATGAAAAAGTGGTAATTACATAAATTATTACAAACAATGGTATCACATTGCCATACCAATGTCACCTTCAGCTTGGGGTTCACATGAACCCAAAGACTGGGGTCAGGCAGCCAGTTAAATTGGTCAATAAAATTAGTAAAGTTAGGCAGGCAGTCATTCAATCGGAAGGTCAAGCAAACAGACGGGTTGACTATTTTGATCAATATCCTTCAGAAATTAAGTGTATTGACTCAGAATGAGCTGTATATCCATGCAGATTCATCCAAGAATTGTAGTCTCAGGAGCAGCTGTATATCCCAAGCTGTCCAAGATGTTACTACCAAGATCTTTCCAATGAATCGGCACATTATTTACCAGATGACTGTGGCTCGGATACTTTCCCCTTTTTCTTAATAAACTCAGTTTTGCAAACACAATTTTAACATGTTTTATTAAAAAAGAATGTGTTTTTACAGAGAACAAAGGAGTAATGTACAGATTGTAGGGACAGGAGTTACACACTATGAAGCTATTATTGTGTAATAGTGGCATTTAAATCTATAATACATTAACAAATTAACAACACATTGAGGAACACGGAGAATATTGTGAGAGGAGCGTATGCTTCGTTTAACAACTTCAGACTTTATTTTAATTACATGGATGGTGAAATACTAAAGAAAATGCTCATGACTTTCGTGAGACCAAAATTGGAATACGCAGCAGTTGTATGGTGAACATATCTCAATAAGCACATAAATAAACATGAAAAGGTGCAAAGGCATGCTACAAAATGGCTTCAAGAACTAAAAAAAAAACAGTTATGAAGGGTTGGCTAGTGGTGATGAATATGCTAAAGCTAGCAGATAGAAGAAAAAGAGGTGATATGATCACCATTTAAAATACAATAATAGGAATTTACCAAAATGACAAAGTGGAATTCCTGAAACCAGCAACCTCAAGAACAAGATGTCATAGATAAGAGCTCAGAAAACAAAGTTGCCCAAAAAATAATAAAGTTTTCTTTTCCAAACAGAGTGGTAGACAGTTGGAGCAAGTTAAGTGAGAAAGAAGTGGAGGCCAAAACCATTAGTCATTTCAAAGCGGTATGACAGAGTACTGGGAAGATGGGATACCACAAGTGTAGCTCTCATCCTGTAACTACACACGCACGCGCACACACACACACACAGGCCCTCAGCGTGCCTCTGGCAATGATCTTTAATGAGTCACTTATGTCAGGAGAATTGCCCAGTTGCTGGAAGAAGGCAAATGTCGTGCCGATCTTCAAGAAAGGTGATAGGGAGGAGGCACTTAACTATAGACCTGTATCACTGACGAGCATCCCCTGTAAAATACTGGAAAGAATAATTAGGCTACGACTGGTTGCACACCTGGAGAACATTAGGTTTGTGAACAAACATCAACATGGGTT